TCTTCCTCACAGACTCGGGGTAATCTTCGTTGATGTAAATCTTGGTTCCCTTAAGCTTCTTGGCTTGCTGCAGAATGTTTGTCTTATCTTTGTCCTCCATCAACTTAACCATCACCCCCCTCGGTCCCCGATCAGAAAGTTTCCCGACTCTGTAAACCCCTTCCATCTCTATATCTTGATGAATTTGCAGTTTGTCCTTTAAAATCTCCTTCACCTTACACTCCGCTTCCGTCCAGCTTTCTCCAGCTGACTCCTTGATTCCCTCGAAGATCAGGTTTTTTTGCTTGGACTGCGCTTCCAATTGCTCCATTTTACACGTAATAGTTATTAGACTCTCTCAGGTTTTGTCGATGTCCTGAAAAGTGTCTTTGGCAATTTTTTCATGCCTCCCCACGTCCGCTTTAATCGCGTCCACATCTCGCTGGGTAAACTGCAAACTCGTTTTTATCTCCTGCATTTCTTTGGTCAAGTCGTCGAATCTCTTGTTATTTGTCTCCATAATTAGTTTCACAAAGCCTTGGAAACTCTCATGCTGTTGGCACATAAGCGCAATGAACATAAGCTTCTGCTGATTCATCATCTCAGCTACTTGCGTCGCTGAAATAATGGATATGATGTCAGATTTCAGAGGGAGGTTAGTTGCCACAAGTCTTTGTTTTTTCTCTTATGGTCATCATGTTTACATTTTAAAGGAAACCCACCAGGATTGTTGTACAGGGCTTTACTACTTTCCAAAGACAGATGTGTTATGAGCTTCAGCTGTTATTAAAAGCACACCAGGAGATACGGCTGCAAGGCGAGTTACCTGCAAATGCAATATTTTATTTTCTATAGCCTGTGTAGTGATTTTATTTGCACTTTCCAATCTGCCCTCACTAATGGTTCTTGCTCCTCCTTCATAACAGAGCTGCTTTAATAAACATATAACCTGGCTTTGATGACACAGTGGATGGGGCATTTAGCGTGACAGAGTACATTTCAGCCTTGGCTTTTGTCAGTCATGTCCCAGTCACATTAACACTGTACTACCAGTCATGTGCGTTCATTACCTCTCTCCCAAGAAGTTGCCAATGGCGGTCTTGTTCAGGCCTTCCTCTTTGTAAAGAAACTCGGCCACTGAATCTGCACGCCATTCAAGCAGGTCATTTTCGACCATGTAATGGATGCCCTGAAGCAGAAAAGATTGTTATGTTATGAGAGTTATGTCTCTATAAACAGTATTTGAAAACCAGGAGCATGCACATTAGGCTTTAAATAGAGAAGAATCTTGAAAGTTGAACTGATCAGTTGTTTTACCCCAGGTTTTATAGGTAATTGATGCCACAGAAGCCTTGTGGACAGTGTTGGCCAGTAGTTTAAACTCTTAAAAGTGTTTCTAACTCTTAGCCAGTTATATCAAACAAAAAGAAATCTTCTTCCACTGTCTGTTATCTCTCAGTCTCAGTGGCTGCTCAGAGCCAAATATAACCCTTCATTCTGAGTGCACACTCCTGCTAAATGGTTCTTCAAATCAATTCCACTTAAAGATGCCCTTCACCTGAAGAAGTCTTAAAGCTTCTCATCCACCCACTCAACCACGTCCTCAGGACTGAGTGCAGAGTGGTCACAGGCCAAGGGACTCGGTTTTAATCGGAGGACGCAAAGCAGAAAGGAAAGATGAAAAAGAAGTGGCACCTCTAACCCACTTCGGGGAACAGGACGTGGTTTTTCTCGCTATTGCTCATCTTCTGCATCAATGCCTTTGCACTGTTTTCACTTCTGCATATCACACACATCGCTCAAATCCACATCCACCGTGTATGAGGCTACTTTTGCTGTCATCTTGCTTTTGACCTTCAGAACAAAAGGAACTGAAGTGAGTGAAAGTAGTATGTCACCTACTGTACCTTTGCTATGACTCAGATGGACCAGAATAATTCTGTGCTTTCATATAAACATCTGAATTAAATGACACAATGTCAGAGGCAGAGAGGTGTCTGTGAAAGCTTGCATTTTGGTCAGGTGAGGCTGCACAAACCTTGTATGTAGCAAGTCATACTGAATTCTTCTAAACCATCAAATGGCAAGATGACCTGCCATTAAGACTTTCATTCAGAGTGAGACATCAGCTAATCCTTCAATTCCCTTTGTCTTGTTTAAATACACAAATGTACAACATCAACTCACCATTTTAGGGTCCATGTTGAATTTCTTTTTTCCACGCAAGAATCTCCTGTTCCTCATAACATTTTTACTACAAAAAGACAAAAAGGCAGCAATTTCACACAATCCCCTTCAGGAAAGGAGGTATAGATGATGGATGGATAGATGGATGGATAATCTGTGTTAAGTGTTTTAAAGGGAAATTGGTATTCTTTACATATGTTGGACTTTCTTTAGTATTAAATTTTGCAAACTTGCTGTCTCAACATCAAACTCAAAGCCTTCTCAAGTTAGCTCAAAATGGTATCAGAATAGTTATCATGCTAATTTTCTGTTACTAAAATAAACTCTTCTGAACATCTCACCATGATTAGTAAGGGTGTGTTTTATCAAGTGGTGAGTGTTTGGGGGTTTGGGCAGCTTTACTGAGAAACTGTGGTTGTCATGCAGCGTCTTACCACTGACACTATATTAACATCATTCTGAAAGCAAAGCAACAGAATATTCTGATGCATAGTTAGACAGCCACATTCACACAGTCCCAGAATGTCACATGACCATTTCCCCTTTCTCAGTGTGTGTAACTGGCCCACTTTGTTACAGTACATGGCCACACTGTCTCCTCCACAAATCTATAGACAGACTGTACAGTATGTCAGTAAGTGGGTTTCCATCCTAATTTACATCAAATTTAAGACAGATTCGGAGGAAATCTGCAACAGAAAATGCTAATGAATGTGTGTTTCCATTCAGTACCTACTTTGTGTGAAACAGCTGGTGGCACTATTTTTTTACTTAGTTGCCATGAAATAGTTAATGTTAACTAAAAGTGACAGATGATAGTTACTATTAGCTAATGTTAGCTAACAGTTGAAAAGGTTAATGTTAGCTAAGTGAACAGGCGATACAGTTTGATGCTGCAGAGGCAGCATCTAATAAAAGAATTATTTTTGACTTGTGACTCAAAAAAATGCAACAAAGGTGCATGATTGAGTATTATGTGTGGTGTGGGAGTCTAAATTGCATCAATGTCACTTAAATAAGAGGAAGGGGTTGTGCTGCCTCATAGGAGAGCTACTCTAAACATTTACTCATACTCACTTCTTCATCTCAGGGTTGTGGATTTCTGCCATGGTGTGACTGATCTCCAACCTCAGTTTCTGTGAGAGACATAAAGAGCATTGATGTTAGCTTTTGATCAAGGTTTGTTATTTCATTATAGAGTCCACCTCACAGACTCAATGGTACATGACTCAGGGCCTATTTTTCCACACTGTTATGAAATAACCTTCAAATCCTTTATTTCTCAGTTAAAAGTTAGTGAATGAAACACCTTTGTGAGCTGTGAAAAGCTCTGATGCTGCCATGGAGAAAAGTAATGAGGGGTTTTAATGTAAGACCTTGGAGGGATGTAGTCACCATAGTACCTGAATGTCATCCAGCAACTCAGTCTTGATGGTGTCACCCCGCCTCCTTTCTGTTGAGGGGAGTTTCAGTGGAGCTGTGCAACAACAAAGAGAATCAACTGGGGGACAGTTACAGTTCAGGACGGTAGCATAATGAAACAGTCAGTAGACATGCAGCCCTGTGCTGTCTTGACAACCTCCCTCACGCCTACGCACACTGTCACAGACACGCATACATCACAGCTTTATTCTTCACTGGTCAATATATGAGATAAGGAAATGAGCTGAAAATTGTTTACGCATATGAATCAGGATGATTTGGGGGGCATCAATTCATCTTTTTGTTTTGTCCTTAGCACAGTATTTAAGTTTTAGTGGTAGGTAAACAAATTATTGTGTTTCACAGGGTTCAAATGATGCAAAGGTTGAATAACAGCACTGTAAAGTGTGTGCTAAAAACATCCATATAAAAGCAAAGCACACAAAACAATATCAACATCAGCTTGAAACCAGTGAGTATTTAGGTGCCTTATTTGTCTTTAATTTTAATTTATATGCACATGCATATGCAGATTTGCAGTATGTGCTACTGCTGTCTATATAGGCATATATGTACTGTGACAAATCATTCATTATTGCTTTCTTAAAGACTGAAATCAAATCAGTCATTCAATTAGCATCATTTTAAGTCAGTTCAATAAACTAAACCTCACTAATGCTTTGACTCATCGTCTCACAGCAAACTTGGTATCGCTTTTCTTTATAACAGCAGCTTTCCATACTAATGTAAAGTATTAGTTAAAAGTTAATATAAGCATAGGCCTACCTCTCCCCCAGAGGAAACTGTCTTTCCTGCGTATGGCCATGTTGTTGATGGTGCAGAGCGACTGATCGGCTCTACAGGAAACAAGTGAGTGCCAGAGTGAAAAAAAGGGCCGGCGCTGCCATTCTGAGAGATGTGACACTGAAGAGACTCTGACTTCACTCAAAAGCGCTTCTTACATGTCTTATGACGTGCATAGGAAAATGTTGACATGCAGCTGTGTCACTGTGTCTGCCTGCATGTGTGTGTGTGTGTGTGTGTGTGTGTGTGTGTAGACATTTCATTAGAAAACAGAAATTTCATTCATACCCAACACTATTATTACCTCTACTATTGCAAAATCCAGTTCTTACAAAACTACAACTGGTGCTACTGCAGCACTAATCTCAGACTAACATCACAAAGTGTCATACAAAAAAAAATCTATGAAAAAAAAATACAATTGCACATGCACTCCAAGCAGAAAAACACTATACTAGTTGACTATTATTGCTGTTAATGTGTATGTGTACTGTTCATACTAATGTAGTTGGTTTAGGTGCACCTAATATTGAATGTGTTTTATATTGGCCTGCAACTAATGATTTTTTTTCACTATTAATTCATCTGCTGGTTTGACTGTTCAAAATGAATAAATGTACTTTCCACGACTGGCGCTATATCTTCACTGCAGGTACCAAATTACCATGTCATGAAATTCTGTCAGATGGGTCTTCTGCAGCAGGAAGGAAACACAGCCTGAAGAGAACAGGGTTAGTTTCATTCCTGAATGCGAGGCCCCACCTAGTGGGGAACTAATCATGCTATGTTATTATATTTAATTTAGTGAAATGAATGAAATACTAGAACTATAAAGCTTTCTGCTCTTTCTCCATTCCACATTTGCTTACCTTTAAGGAAATTATTGGTCAAATTTTATGCCTTTGCACCAAGCCTCTGAAATGACCGTAGAGAACGATGTTAGTCTGTCAGTACGTTCTCACTTCCCCAACCTCTCTGTGGCTCTCGACCCAAGTCATGACTATTATTAAAAAAGGAAGTAATTCCCTTAAACTTTTTTTTTCCAGGGTAGCTCTGTGCAATAAATCAGACACAGTATTTTAAACTTCTTGAGTCAAGATTTGTGTGTATTTTAAAGCAGTTTTGTACTTTGAGCAGGACAAATCACTGTATAAGCCAGAGACTCAGAGAACATTTAGGACTTTAAGCAAGAATTAGTGATAGCTTTACTTCAAAACACGTTTGACTGAAGAATAAAATGTCCATTATCGAAGGATATCTTCATTTTCAAATTCACAGCTTTATAAATGCATTGATGCTATTTTAAGTGCAGCTTTTGTGTTGCTGCAAATCCATTTCACTGCAGACATGAATAGACCAGCCACTTCAAATAAGCCTGACAATGCATTATCGTTGGGATTGTTCACAGTTAACCCTTATCAACTTGGGCTCAGTTCTCCCACTGTCAATCATCAAGACTATTTGTTCATCTTTCAGTTGCAGCCTGTTCTGTCTCTGATGCTTTGGTCCTCCTGTAATGGTTTCTATCATTTTCTTCTGTTTACAATGAGGAATGCATTGTTCATATGTTTCAAAATTTAGCATGATAGTTTGCAATAAGACAAAGCTTGCTAGAACACTGACCACAAATGTATTGCTGAACAGTAGAGCATACGATAAGGATAGGATAATGTGGGACTGGGTCCCATATTTTTGCCTGAGAGTGTGGTGTCTGAACCTGATAAGTTTATAGTATATAATGTCTGAACCCGACCTGAGCCCAACATACGGAAACATACGGTAGTTGAATTTGTTTTCCCCCATCATTAAACAAAGCAGACATTTGAATGTTCCAGCAATCTAGTCTAAAGTTTGATCTACGTGTATGAACCCTACCTGGACCAGAAGAGAATTTCAAAATTTCTGTCCAAACCCTGTTCAAACTATTAGGTATCAATGGGTCCTGTCGGGCTCCATTTTGGTGTCCACATACTACTGAACAGGCCTACTGGGCACAGGCCACGGGTTTCAAGTAGGGCTGAACAATTTGAGCAAAAAATCTAATTGCGATTTTTTTCCCCCCAACATTGCGATTGCGATTTAATATGCGATTTTATTAGCTGTTCATTTTCTGTATTAAACTTCAAGCCAAAGACAAGCACTAAGTCATTATATAGTATGACCAACATAATATTAGATTGAACATAAGACCAGGCATGTTATTTGATGAAATTAATGCTCCTCTTTGGCACTAAAGTTTCTGGTTCAGGGTCCGGTTGTGTTGAGCCCTAGGCCATTTTACAGCAGGTCAAGTAACAAGTTATGCTACAGCTTAGTATGACAAGATGCTGCGTCATCTGCAGATTGCGCTTGCATGTCACGTGACCAGACTATAATCGCACCTATTGCGATTAGAAAATCGTGTTTTACGTGATGGTGATTTAATCGCAAAATAAATCGTTCCCTACTAGTTTCAAGGGGTCAGGGGGGCCCCGTTTGAAGAGACATTTTTTGTTGTTAGATTAGTCAAACTACTACACAAAGATGCAGCACTGACACAAGAGATACAACAAACAAACAGAGGCAAATTGACTGCAGAGAGACTAAATGCACCACAAATAGATGCAAAGGAACCTGAATAAGACTCACATCAGCTGCAAAGAGACAGGGGTCAACTGGAAAGAGACACTGACTACATTACATAATGATCACTAAGTAAGGGGAAATGACAGCAGGAGATGCAAATCAACTGGAAAAATAAACAAAGCAACTGCAAAGAAAAAAATTACAAAGATGCACAACAGACAAGCAAAACACACCACAAAGACACATAATAAAGCCAATGTAGCTTTTCTAATGAACTGTCGGAAGCATTTAAAAGAGATGTTTAAGACAGTTTCATTGATCAGGATGCTTACCCCAGGCAGACCATATATAATTGCCTGAGCTGTTGTGTAGCTGTTGTGTTGACAGTTCCTCACACCGGCAGCAAGTCACAAGGAATAAGCATTAACTTCAGACCTGCTGCATAAATCACAGGTGCACTGAGACGGAGGAGAGGGAAAATTATCCTTGATATTGATAATTGATGTGCCATCCACTTTAATTTGTGCAATTTAGAATCTCTTCGCCCGCACAAACAAGTGAACTAAGTGCTTTGATTTGTCATTAGTCTCCAACAATAGCAAGTGCATTCACTTTCTCTGTCCCACATGCCAACACCTAACACATTTCCTCATATGAAACCTTGATACGTAACACTCCTCTTCAGCGTCTCTGTTCAAGGTGCTGCGGCTTTATTCAGTTGCCATAGTAACCTGATATCCCTAATGTAAATGCTGGTTTTTCACATTAGAGAGCTTCAGGTAACAAATGCTCTATTTAATAATGATCTATTTACAGCAGGGGAATGTAGGCAGTGTGCATATAATGCTGAGGTGACATGTGTTGTCATGCATGCACTGTGCATTCGTACAGTGTTGGAAAGCACAGGTAGTCACACAAAACATGTCACAAGTGTTTTGTCAGGGACTCCTGTGAGACAAAATGACTACAGATGACATGGGTGAGTTATTTTGTGTCCTTTTCTGGTAGTTTTTCATATCTTTGTAATAATTATGTGCCTACTATGACTCAAATTAAAAAGGTTAACAATTTAGAGGTTGTGGCTTCCCTGACTTCTTGGGCTAAGTGTGTAGCAGTGTGACTGTAGGGATGGTAGAGTCATGCAGTCAGTTGGTTTGTCCAGACTGAAATACCTCAACAGTTATTGGATCGATAGCAACAAAACTTTTGTGCTGGCATTCATGATCCCAGTAGGATGAATTATTTATCCCCTGACATTTCCACTAGTCAATTAATTTTACATATTCAGTGACGGAATGGAAGAGCCCAAGTGCAGACACTCAAAAACACAGACAACTCTTAATCATGAGTCAAAAATCAATAGTCTGACAAGCAACACTTGACAGTGGAAGTTCTTCTTAAACATAATCAGAGAACTGCTGTAAGAACTTCATTCTTCACATGCTTTGTCACTTTTAACTCTAAAGCTCTCTCTTTTTCTCTCTCTCTCTCTCGCTCACAGCCATTGTCCTTGAACAGGTTGCTGATTGGTGGAAGTAATGCCCAATTACCTGCTGGTGGGAATACTAGCAACAACAGTGGCTCACTCCTACGGGAGTACTGATATTTGCTCCAGGGTGCACGGTGTGTTCAGTTCTATGGATAGGGCTTGTGAGAGGATAACGTCCTTAAACGGTCCCTTCGAACGGAGTCACACAGCCGTCTTAAAAATACCCTACGTTGTAAAAATGTTTGTATTTTTCTTAAACTTTTGGCACTGGGTATGTTTTTGAAACTATGCAATTTAAATATGTTTGATTGGATAACAAAGGTAATTAAAGCCCACAAAAGGTGCAGAAAAGCCACTGACTGTATATAAAACGCCAGACAAACCCATTGTGACATCAACCATTGGTTTTCTGAAGAGTGGTTTTAAAGTCTGCCAGTCACCATCTTTGTACTGCCTCACTCTGCCTGCTATGGCTAATATAAAAATGGTCAAGGAGCTCTCTAGACGGCTAGTAGACAGTCACCTGTGCTGGGACCCTCCAGCCTGTCACTCAAAGTTGCCATGACATTAATTACGCATAACTTTTAGACTCAATATATTTTAAACAGGTGAGTTTTATAAAAAAAAAAATTCAACCCCTTAGCATGGAAGGGGAAATTAGCCATAGAGACCAAATTATTTTTTGTACCAGGCTGTAAACATGTTTATTTCTGCTGTCAAGTTGGGCAATTTAACATGGGCGTCTATGGGGATTGACTCCCTTTTGGAATCAGCCTCAAGTGGCCATTCGGGGAACTGCAGGTTTTGGCACTGGTACTGGCTTCATTTCTCAGCTTCGGAGGTTGCTGCTTAGAAAAATCTGGAAGACAGCACTGTCACAGCGCTAATATCTGAGAAATCACCTAATAGATTATAAAGAAACATTTTGGACATATTACCTGCTGCTCCCTCACTCCCTGGAAATTCAAATTCTTACAAAGGGAAGGACACCTGACTGAAGCTCAGG